CTAATTTCCCAATATGCTGATGATACTTCGCTGATACTAAATGGCACTGAAAAAATGTTTACAGGCGACATTAGAAATTCTTAGTAAATATTGCCTCATTTTCAGGCTTAAAAATAAATGTAAACTAAAACACAGGTATTATGGATAGGCTGAGAAAAAAGCTTAAAAGAAAATTTTGCAGAAACTGGAATCTAGACTGGAAGAATGACTCATTTACACTATTAGGGATTGTATTTACTCACCACATCGCAGAAATGGTTGAACGCAACAATAAAGATAAACTTAAGACTCTCAAAATATCAATGAATCAATGGTTAGCAAGAGATCTAATCCCTTAGGTAGAAATACCATATTGAAAAGTTTACTTTTACCGCAAATTATAATACCGAAAAATTATCAGGGCAAGTGACTTTACATGTGCCACTGTTCCGGAGTACACTAGCAATTTTAAAGTTACTTCCACCCCTGTTGTAATAGCACCACTGAGCATCTTTGAGGTGGATATTAGGCTCTCTTCCAATGTATTATTATTGTTATTATTATTATTTGTTTGTTGTTTGAAGCAGTATTCCAGCTATATAATGGCAATATTCAGCATAAAATAGGAGCACTTTGACATTGATGAATTAGTTTTTGTATCTCCATAGCTTTTTAAGCATCCATTGCAACCATCAAAGATTTCTGACAGTACATTGCGTAACTGGCAATATGGTACTTTGGTCAACCAATCAGACAACGAGCGTGAAGGCATGATTGATTTAGGAACAAGGAAGTAAACAACATGCTATCGTCAATTGGATTTTCCTACTCAAAATGTTAACACTCTTTCAAAGATACTTTTTGTTCATGTTACAAATATTTTATCAATCTAAAGTGAAGGTCTTCTGACTTTTAGGCTGGACCACAGCCAACTCAGGCTGTTTTATGTTTTTGACCGGCGACGTGTAACTTGCGAAGTCATTGATTTTTTACCCCTGAAGTGAAAATAAGAAATTATCACACAACGGGGGATAAAAAGATTTCTCGAAATTACCATTTTAAGCCACATTGTGAAATTCTGGTTGACAGTTCCTTGAAACAAGTAATTAAAAAAAATGCCTCGCATCTGAACTATCACACGTGATGATGGCTGGGATGATGAGATGTTCAGTTTGTGGGATGAATCATTCCTTATTGTGTCCATACATTGTGTTAAAAAGCACAAGGATCTTTCAGAGAAATGTACGACAAATCAAAACACTCCTCTTCATCAGATGAGTTCCTGTAGCCCACAGCTAGAGCATCTTGCCTTTCAGTGTGAAACCCTAGACACCCTCTTCACAGTGTTGAAAGAGTTTTTCCCAATTCCAAGATCGGAATTAACATTCTGATCACAGAAATTCCCTGATTTGCAGTTCTTTAGTTTCATCCAGCAACACAAACAAAGTCCCTGCTAAGTGGCTCCAAATAACCAATAACTGATTGTCACTGGGTCCCAATCACGTGAAGACCTCGCAAATGAGGGTTCATCCTCTCCTTAATCATGACTGAATGGTTATAGCTGCAGGCAACGATGCAAGTGTTACAACAACATCGAGTCTAAACATTGGAGAAGGAAGTATCCTCGAGTGATTACTGCTCGGAATTGAAAACACTTTTGTTGTCTACTCATGGTTAAAGATCAGCTCCTGAGATTAATAGACTGCCAGGCATTATGGCTTGGGTAGTGGAGTATGGACACTCGCTGAATATTCATGCTCGTAACTACTCGTCCCTTTCGTAACCTGAAAGAAGACACGTACCCCTCTCGTAGCCATGTCTGGGAGAAATATTCCCCCAGCCAACCAGGATGTGTGTATGTAGAGAAGAAATTGGGTAAAAATAGACAGTTGAAATAATTTAAATTTCAGCTTGCATAATTTTTTCCCAGACACTTCAAGTATATATCATTGCGTAGTCTTCCTGGGTTTCCTGAACTTTTATAACCAGGATATATTAACATTATGGCGTAGGAAAGTATTTAATCATGTTACACATACCCTTTGGGGGGCGGTGGGGTAGTCTAGTGGTTAAGGCGTTTGCTCATCATACCAAAGACCCGGGTTCGATTCCCCACATGGGTACAATATGTGAAACCCATTTCTGGCGTCCCTCGCTGTAATATTGCTGGAATATTGTTAAAAGGGGCATAAAACTAAACTCACTCACTCACTCACTTTGGCATGATGAACCAACGCTTTAACCACTAGACTACCCCTCCGCCCCTTTTTGAAATGCTAAGGTATGCAGTACACACAGGGGTGGAAATAACCTATTGCCCGACGTCCGAGTCCAGTGTTTTTTTCTGTCGGGCAAGCAAATTTGTACATCACACTGTACCGGTGTCCAGTTGACTTTCCAATGTTAATTATGTTGTTTATTTAAAGAAATCAACAAGAAAACGGCCGGTATAGTGGACAGAGTACACTAGTAATTATAAAGTTATTTCCACCCCTGACACAGGTACCAGATGAATGTATAGGTAGCTAATCTCCTCCACATGTTGTTTGTCACTTGTATATTCATAAGTTATAAGCTGGCTGAATCATTGCACGTGCACATAGTATCCTGGACAGATGTGGTAGATATAGCACAATATCGCCACGTTTCATACAAGGTCATCTTACCCATACTATCATATTGACCAGGGCCTCCTTTCACAAAGCTCTAAGGTGATCGTAAGTCACTAAGGTAACCTTAGTGCAATGTTAAAGAATGGGAGTTAAGGTTAACCTTAGTTAAGGTTGCTTCGTGAAAGGAGACCCTGGTTGTAGTACATCTGTTTCACAGAACTGTGAATGGAATTGGTAAACATGTAATAAATATGTGATACATGTGGTCTCACCTTAGGCAAGTGAGTTTTTTCAAAATTGCCTCTGTTCACCCAGCAGGAAATGGGTACCCGGTGGGATAAGTCATGTGACTATAACCTAGCTCCTCACAGGCAGCTTGTGTTATCCGGGGCAATAATAATCAGATTCTGATTACAGCATCCAGTTAGCAACTTGTCAGATGGATACTAGGCGCTATATAAATGAATTATTATCATTATTATTAATGGCTGGTAATACAACTCCAGATATCAAATGTTAACAATGAATATGTTAATATTGACTTAAGCTATCATAGAGCTAAGATCCTTTTTTTCGCTAGAGGGCTATCCTTTCTTCATTCTAATGGGGCAAAGGCGGTTACAAAGACTGACTGAGTTTAGTTTTACACCGCTTTTAGCAATATTCCAGCAATATCACGGCGGGGGACACCAGAAATGGGCTTAACACATTGTGCCCATGTGGGGAATCGAACCGGGCCTTCTATGGCGAATAGCCAACGCTTTAACCACTAGGCTACCCCACCGCCCCCGGTTACAAAGAATGAATAGTGTTGAATGGTGGAGGACACATATTGCTCTTTCAGTTAACAGTTTAAAATATTGTAATAGAGTTTAATAGTGAGATCGCACAGACTGCTATTACAATAGTTGTTAAAAAATTGGAATAGTTTTTAATAGTGAGATAGTGCAGACTCTTATTGTACAAGGGTTGTTAAAAAATTGGAATAGTTCTTAAAAGTGAGATAGGGCAGACTCTTATTATACAATAGTTGTTAAAAAATTGGAATAGTTTTTAATAGTGAGATAGTGCAGACTCTTATACAATAATTGTTAAAAATAGGAATACTTTTTAACTGTGTTTGTGGAGACTTTTCATGGTATTGCCATTGTTGAATATGTCCCTGACCCAAATAGTCGGCCCTGTCAGTCCAAGGGCTTGGTTGGGATTGACCCTCAGATAGACCATTGATGCCATCTGCTGTTCCAATATGAAGTGAGAATACAAACTGTGATAACCATTGGTGCCATCTTTGTTTCTAAAGGGATGTAAGAATTGCCTTACAGACTGTAATAACCAATGATGCCATCTTGAATTCCAATGGGATGCAAGAATTGTCTTACATATGGTAATAACCAATGGTGCCATCTTGAATTCCAATGGGATGCAAGAATTGTCTTACATATGGTAATAACCAATGGTGCCATCTTGAATTCCAATGGGATGTAAGAATTGTCTTACATATGGTAATAACCAATGGTGCCATCTTGAATTCCATTGGGATGTAAGAATTGTCTTACATATGGTAATAACCAATGGTGCCATCTTGAGTTCCAGTGGAATGTAAGAATTGTCTCACAGATTGTTGTAACCATTCACGCCATGCTCATTCCCAAAGGCACCATTGGCACCATCATCAGTTCAAGAAAATCTTGTCATAGAAAGCAGAACCATTGGCGCCATATGCATTTTTTAAGCAAAGCTTCAAGTATCCTGTTTGACTGATTTCATGATAAACTTGTGCAGGTTCTAACTAGAGAATTAATATGCACATTAAATAAACTGTACTAAGGTCATTTCCACAAAGTGATTATTGTTCTAAGATTAAGATAACATTTGTACTTTGACATAAACTAATTACTATGGTAACGCTACAGACACGTTGTTGAATGGGGCCTGGTAAGACACGACTATTGTTGAATGGGGCCTGGTAAGGTACAGGGTGCCATTGCAAAACAACCTTAGCTATGACTATGGTGTTTTGATTATGGGTAGCCCAGTAGTTAAATCATTCACACTTCATGCCAATGGTCGGTCACCTTAGGGTACCTTAATTGTACAATACCTTAAGATATGGGAGTTACGGTCACCTTAGCACTTAGTCTACCTTAAGATATGGGAGTTACGGTCACCTTAAGATATGGGAGTTACTAAGATTAAGATTTTGTCCCAAGCGATTGCTTTGCCAGCCAGATCTGATTCCCAACATGGGTACAATACATGAAGCTCATTTCTGGTGTCCCCTGCCGTGATATTGCTGGAATATTGCTAAAAGCGGCATAAAACCATACTCCCTCACTCACTTGAAGAGCATAACTTATGCATATTTATCAACCTGTATGTTTTAATGCCTGACTTTCTTTTTCATAGTTTTGATCGTTCATGGTCGATTCCGAATGTGGTAAGATTTTGTTTCTATAACAACCTACTGCAAGTGGTTACCTTGGTAACTTGGTGCTTTGAAGTATAATCCAAACCATTTTTCTTGGGGCAGAATTCCAAAACTCTGTGACTGCTGGATGTTGTTCATGATTCTATATTCCATTGAGGGTACTCTATACCAAACATCTTCAGTTTCCATGACAGTAGTAACTGAAGGGGTCGTTGTCGGTTTCTGTATACAGAAATGTACCCTAAGAGACCGTTCATAATTAAGGGGGGGTCACCCATTTTGTTCTGGGGAGGTAGGTGGGTCAACAATTATGTACACGTTTCTTGGGAGGTATGCAATTTTGTACATATAAATATTTAAAAATTATGCTTTAAAAACATGGAAAGGGGAGGGGGGTCACTTACTTTGTACATAAATTTTTAGGGGGGGTATTCACATTGTACATGCTTCTCTATAAAAATCATCAATTTGGCTAGGGTCCATTTGAGTGTACAGCAAAGTAGCTGGGATACACATCTGTAGTCCCCTTGTCGACTACGACCCCTTCAGCGACAATGGTCCTTCCTATATTTTTCATGACCATATCTCCCTTCTGTTTTGCCATTCCTTTGATTTTTCTCAAACTTTATCAATACAGTGGAATCTGTCTTCAGCTGTGAGACCAAAAGTTTGATTATGCTGAAGCTTGGATTACTGATTGGGGCTCCAAGAGCAGTTATGTCCCTTGTTTCCAAATTTGATAAAAGATTTCTTCTGAGGCAGCTTACTCTACAGATGTGTAACTGTCTATGTCCCAATATGGCCTGACCAACAAGAGATTGTTTCTATCAATGTATCACATTTCTGGTATTGCATCACAATTGAAAAAAGATTTCAGTTTATGACTGGTAAATTTTACATTTATTCAGTTTCGTTGAGTGTTTCTTAAGTCAGAGTTATCATTTTGTTCGAAATGTACAGTTAGGTAACATTAGACAAGTTATCACACCAGTGAAATATAAATATTAGTTCATGAAAAACTCGGAATGAAACCTTAAATAGATATGTAGAGTAGGGTAGGCGTATTGTATCATCAGCTTAAATATGGGATGCGTCAATGCGTTGTCCAGACAACAGTAATACGTCTGCTCCAGCATTGACAGAAATCCTGATTGGTCTTTGTCCAGTTCTGACATATTCCACTGTACCTCATTGGCTGATTTCATGTCGAAGAATAATGACAATTATTATGGATATACAACTTCTTTCATTCTGTGGAGGCAACGTTTCGACATAGATTCTAATGTCGTTGTCAAGAATAAAGACAATTATTATGGATATACAACTTCTTTCATTCTGTGGAGGCGACGTTTCGACATAGGTTCTAATGTCGTTGTCAAGCAAGTGATTGACAACGACATTAGAATCTACGTCGCCTCCACAGAATGAAAGAAGTTGTATATCCATAATAATTGTCATTATTATACCCCCGCTACGACGTAACGGGGGTATATAGCGTTCATTCTGTCCGTCCGTCCCGAAACTTTGTCCGGAGCATAGCTCTTAAAGTTTACATGCTAGGTTCACCAAACTTCACACACATGTTAATCATTACCCATTGATGTGCCTTTTGCTATTTTAAAGTTTTTGCAGAATTTTGGTTTTTTTGCTGTTTCCATGGAAACACGACTTAGTGCCAAATGTGTTTGATTGTTTTTGTCCGGAGCATATCTCTTAAAGTTTACATGCTAGGATCACCAAACTTCACACACATGTTAATCATTACCCATTGATGTGCCTTTTGCTATTTTAAAGTTTTTCAGAATTTGTTTTGTTGTTGTTTCCTTGGAAACATGACTTGGTGCAAAATGTGTTTGATGGTTACCTGGCCACAGCATATCATCGAAACTATACATGCTAGGTTCACCAAACTTAATACACAAGTTAATCATGCCCCACAGATATGCCATGTGCTAAAAAATAACAATCTTCATCTACGTCCACTTCATTGTGTGCAACAAGTTCAATTGTATGTCAGGTTTCCACGGAAAACACAAAAAAGTAATGTTTCCATAAATTATTACTGTAATCAGTACATGGCAAAACAATTATCTAACATGTATATAAAGTTTAGTAGTGTCAAGGAGAAAGGCTTGTGAGCTGCTGCTCCTTGTCGCATTATATATATCAATATCAGTCATTTCCATGTCCCAAAGTGGGAAGCGGGGGTATGTGAGCTGTGCTCACTTCTACACTTGTTCTTCATCAACTCAACTTCTAAAATGCCCATCAAAGAAGTGATTTCATGTCCATAATTATATCTACAGATTGTTTAGGCTGTGAAGATCCGCGTTAGAATTGGTCTTCAGCAACCCATGCTTGTGGTAAGAGGCACCTAACGGGATCAGGTGGTCAGGCTCGCTGACTTGGTTGACACATGTCACTGTATCCTAATGGCAGTACTCATGCTACTGGTACCTGAACCAGCATTCGAAATACCTGCCTGCTCGACCACCCGGGACGGGTTATTTTCAACATGGACTGCCAGATTCTCAAATTCACCTGCCCGACGGTCGGGTTAAAATTTAGACATGCATATGAAGATATTTTGTGGGCAGGTACTTTTTGGTCAGGGCTGGCAAGTTTTACATCTAACCAGCCCTGTGGTCTGGCTGAAAGTTTTGGGAGTTTCATGCCCTGCTACTTAGGTGTAGTGTTGGGAATTGGTTAAAATCTTATAATTGATGATTGGTTCATTACAACCGATCAATCATCGAAAATAATTGGTTAGCGTCATTTATCAAATTGTCTGGGTTATGTTTGTTAATGCACAAAAAATAAAGAAAAAAACATGTGGTTCTTTCGGGGTTTTTTTCGCAAATTTCATTTCTTTAAAGGATGACTAATATGTTAGGAACATAAATTTCCTGGAGTCTTCAAGATAAATTTTAATTATGACTTGGAATGTGCTTGTAGTGCTTATGAAACGTAACAAACAAAACCCACCTTGTGATAAATATTGTTAATGAAAACAAGTGTTCCAAAATTGTTTGTGTTCGATTATGACAAGATGTGATCGTTTGCTTGGTCATTTAGTCATTACGACCAATCTTCGATTGTTTCAATCAGTTGGACCACTACTACTTAGGTGTGTGGCATTGTGATGGCGATCTGTAAACAATCCTGTGATTGACATCATGAGCATCAATCTACGCAATTGGCATAAGTTGACGTGTCAAGTTAACGAGCCTGATCACCCGATCCCTTTAGCCACCTCTTACAGCAAGCATGGGTTGTTAAGACCAATTCTAAGTCAGATCTTCATGGGATACGACGATCATGGGTTGCTGAAGACCAATTCTAAGTCAAATCTTCATGGGATACGACCATCATGGGTTGCTGAAGACCAATTGTAAGCCTGATGTCAGGCAATGGTCACGTGATTGTTAACCTTCTTGCTGGTCGTTGTTAGCTGGGTTGTATATTCCACTGATAGTCAAGATCGGGAAATGAAATGACACTGATTGGCTGACTGCAGTAATATGAAGATCTATCATGGTCAGCGACTAACGGGATCAGGTGGCCAGGCTCGCTGTCTTGGTTGACACATGTCATCGGTTCCCAACTGCGCAGATCGATGCTCATGTTGTTGATCCCAGGATTGTCTGGTCCAGATTTGACTAATTACAGACCACCACCATACAGCTGGAATATTGCTGAGTGCGGCGTAAAACTAAACTCACTCACTCACTCACTCTATCATGGTCAGATCTCATTAACGCAGATATGAATTGGTGAAACTCTATAATAATGATAAACATATGGATTATGTATAAAGATGAACAGGAAGATTGTATGTTATCTGTTGACAGTCATCTAGCAGGAGTGTTCTATTTGGTGGCACACAAAGTCCATGATCAAGTCTACCAGTTGTCAGAACAGATTTGTGTTCAAACCTAAGTAGCTGAATGTGTTAGATCGCTGACTTTTGGTGCTGGCGATTAGGTGCCGATTAGGGTCAGAGGGCAGAGATAAGCTGCGTATCCGGGTAAAATACGCATAGAATTACTCATTGAAAAATAATTGTTGCGTACCAATTACGCATTTAAAATGTTAATAGGCAAAAAGTTTAAAACAAATGCGTACGGAATATATTTATAAAAATCGCTTGCGTAATGAAAAAGACATCGATTGCTATCAAGTTGTACTGTTAGTATAGGACAAGTGTTGTAATGTCAGTATAGGATGAGTGATTCTTTATGAAATAATTTCCATTATATTTAAGTTGGTTTTGATTAGGTATGATATAAGGCAGAACATACCTGCTTAGTAAACTTACTCAATGACGTAATACTTAGGTGAGTAAAGTGACTGAAATACGCACATATTTGAAAGCAGTGGGTAACGGAAAATGAAATACCCACTCAACATTCATAATACCCACTCCCCAAAAATACAGTGGGTACAGTACCCACATGAGCTAAATCTTATCTGGAGCTCTGAGGGTCGAATCCCGGATAGCAAAAAGTACCATATATTGTATAATAGTGTGTCTGTGTGGGCATTTGTTGTTTAATGCTGCACTCAACAATATTCCAGCTATATTACGGTCTGTAAATGTCTGGACCAGACAATCCAGTGATCAACAGCGTATTAATGATAATAATGCAGTGTATTTGTAGAGCGCTAAACTCCATGCACTAGTGCATGCTCAAAGCGCTACAACTTCTGTTACAATCTGATTATTATTACCCCTGATATCCCAAGCTGCCTGTGAGGCGCTAGAAGGTTATAGTCACATGACTTATCCCACCGGGTACCCATTTTTCTGCTGGGTGAACAGAGACAATTTTGAACAAACTCACTTGCCTAAGGTGAGACCACATGCATCACATGTGCTTCGTTGTGGGGCAGGACTGAAGTCCTAGAAACTCTCAGGAGTCAAGCTGCCAAACACGGTCACCCATCCAAGGACTCTCCAAGCTCGACGTTGCTTAACTTCAACTGATTCTTGACCTGAGCTCTGTGCACAGGACCACACACCACCACATATTGTATAATATATGTTGTACTTTCTGAAAGGCATTGTATATCTACTGTGAAACTGATACGATTGATTGATTGTTCATTATTTTCACAATTTTCCACTTGTCAGTACAAGTGTGCTAAGGGACATAACATGCATGAACTGATACAATTGAAATATTTATTCTCCCAGTAGGACGAGTGTTTGTTCATTATTTTCACATGTAACCACTTGTCAGTAAAAGTGTACAAGTGTTTTTGCAAGTCCCAAATTAGATCCAACTTCGGTTTATCCACTGTCAAAATCATCTGTAGCCCACAGCTGTAGAACCAAAACAGAACAGTTGAAGTGACTAATATGCTGAGAAGACTTTCACATTATCCCGGCAGTTCAGGATAAATCTGCACATTGGTGTGAAATGGCAAGCAAGTGCGTCTATTGTATAGAAGAATTGACAAGACTAGATTTTATCACAGACTTCGAAGCGTCTAAAATGTCAGAGAACCTGCAAAGCAGTGAAGAATTCTGGGAAATCAATACTCTCCCTCCTGAACAGACCATATCGTGTAGCATAACAGGACAGAAATCTGATGGAGTTGCGTCATCTAATCCCACAGCTTGGAAGTATGGACTTGTTCCTGGCGGTTATTTCGTCAACTTCCTATGGGGGAATTAAAGTGTGGTGGCCCATCACAAAATGCTCTTAGAGCTAGCTCTTTTTATTTTGTCAACGTCTGTGTGAAAATATTGGAATCACGAAGCTTGAACAGAAAAACATCAATTGGTGCGGAGAACTTTATCAACTACCTGACGTGGAATTAAAGTATGGTGGTCCTCCCAGCTGTCTTAGTGATATGAATTCCGTTGATTTTGGGGGATATTTTTTTTTTAAATTTGTAAGAATCTTTTGAATTTGACACTTAGCCTGAATCACTAAGAAAAGTTTGTCAACTTTGTCGACTTCCTAAGTAGAATGAAAATATGAGGCATCTCAACAATGTGACCTTAAAGCCACAACCTATACCCTTTTTAAAGTCTGTGTGAAAAATATGGCAGGCTGGCCACATAAAGCACTAAATTGTTTTGTAGAACTTACTGAGGTAGAATTAAGGTGTCTTCCCCATTCCATGAAAGCAATTTTAATGCTCTTACTTTTTTAATATCTTCATAAAAATATTGTTGTTAAGACATTTGAAGCACTAAAATGGCATTGTACAATTTTCATGACCTGAGTTATAACTATACTGTCAGTCCTATTTCCCAATGCTATCTTTGTTGTTTGGGCAATTGTATGGTTATGTGGAAGAATTTGAGTTATGACACTGAGGCACTACAGGGTTCGAAATACCCCATATATTAGTGTGCCATGGCACGGTAAATATCGAAATGACACGGATAACAAATGTTCTCGGTGCCCTTATGGCACGCCTAATGTTTTAGAGACATAACACACCTTTGGACTCTTAATAACCAAACAAAACACTTATGCAAATGACAACCAGGCAAAAACATTTTTTGACTTTATCGCCCGGAAATCACTGGAATTATGATGGTTCATGTAAAGACATCTGGTTGTTTTTTCATTTAGAGTGTTAGGAGTACTGATAGTTCAGTTATTGAAGAGGAAATTGTGTATGTTAGATAGATTGAAAAAAGTGAACCTCTCACACAATTCTTAGCTATTAAAGATGTTGGGAAAGCAGAACAAATGAAACATAAGAAAGCCATCTTAAACAGAAGACATATCAGTGATAACAGAAAACTGGTTACATTTGTTGTTTACTGACAATGAATTTCAAAAGATCATCATCCTTGCTACTGTCATTTATTCTAACAACATGTGGGCACACTTGATTTCTGAAAGGCACACCTAAAGTATTTTCCTGGTGCCCTAAGGCACACTTAGAAAAACAATTATTTCTATGCCTGCACTATATTTCTTAGTGATAACTTACAAACTTCCTCGGGCTATTTAAAAGTATGGAGACATGTTCAATAAAGAGATCTTAGCGCAATGACTTTTGTAAATTTCTGTTAAAATATGTGATGCTCTAATTCCTCAGATTACTCTGCTAGATGGTCACATCTAACCAGTGTTACTAACTGACTGAACGTGAACAAAATTCAACTCCAAGATGGCCGCTGCAGCAGCCATCTTGAAAATAGCAAAACAGTTTGGCCTCCTTCTCCCTATGTCTGCATATATTGGTGTTTTAATTATATATTCCATATGATTGGAAATGTTCAGTTTCGAATTTGTCTCCAGCAACCTTTTCTTGTCATACATGGCAATTTAATCAATCTGGAGGTTCAATTTGGTGACTCGGATGATGACATGTCGCCATGCCCTGATAAAACTGCTTACAATATCAACCACAAGTTTGCCTAACCAAGACTTGATCCTTAACAGGGTCTTGAGCAACCCATGCTCGTCATAAGAGGCAACTAATGGGATTAGGTGGTCAGGCTCACTGACTTGGTTGACACATGTCATCGTATCCCAGTTGCGCAGATCGATGCTCATGCTGTTGATCACTGGATTGTCTGGTTCAGACTTGATTATTTACAGACCGCCGCCGTATAGCTGGAATATTGCTGAGTGTACGTGTCAGTTGTTTCACTGTGCACTCGGGGCGGTGGAGGTAGCCTAGTGGTTAAGGCGTTCGCTCGCCACACTGAAGACCCGGGTTCAATTCCCCACATGGGTACAATGTTTAAAGCCCATTTCTGGTGTCCCTCGCCGTGATATTGCTGGAATATTGCTAAAAGCGGCATAAAACTAAACTCACTCACTCACTATGCACTCAACAGTTTGACACGGCCTGAAAATAATCAAGTGTGGGTTGGCAATTCAGTGATTGATATCGGGTTCGACGACACACCACCAACAAGTCACCGAACCTGACCACCTAATCCATTAAGTCTCTCAAATGACCAATTCCTACCCAGAATCCTCTGGGGCAACAACACCGAAATAGTCTCAGCAAATCGCCACAATGCCAACATGCCACGATTAGACTATTGATGTTATTCATACTGTAGACTCCTTAGATGATTACAGCTTTAAATTTAAGTAAAAAATATCTCCCATGTTTCATTTTGAAGCCAATATTTCCATAACTGTCTAGCTCAGTTGCCGAACACTCACAACACAAAGAAAAGTCTGATCTATTGTGTCTTTGTGTGACAGAGAGTATTTTTACTTTCTTAATGTTTTCTGGGTTTAAGACATCGGAAAGCTCTTCTGTGCTGATGAATGGGTTCGCCATGGTAACTGTTGCCCCATTTCTTGGGTCTTGCTGTATTCTTTGGATGTGATTGGTGACCCAAACTGTACAAGTTACAGTGGTACCTTTGAGATGCTCTTCAAATGTTTTTTATGGCAATCTCAGTTAGGTATTACAGACAGTTTGGATATGGATGTGACAAATGCCAATTGATTAGGTTTTTAAATGTCAGGTGGAATTTGAGTTCCCTGACAATAATGTCACTTGATATTAAAACCAAGTCTGGAAAACTTGGCATCTCTACCAGTGCCATGTTGGGAATATATTTTGTTAAAAGGATAATGATATTTTTTAGCTTTCTGGATATCCATGATTTGCTATCTAATCAAAGGTCTTAGACCCTGTTGAAATTCCATTAGGGCTGGGGATAGATATAGGGTTAGCCTAGTGGTTAAGGCGATTATTGATAAATATCAAGAACCGGTTGAGATCAATACATGGGTACAATGTGTTAAATATCAGCTCTTTCTGGTGTCATTAACGAAAATACCAATCGATGCTGCTGGAATATTGCTAAAAGCTTTTGTCAAACCAAACTCACTCACTCACTCCATTAGGATAAATATCAGAGAGATTATTGATAATATCTGAGATCATAAAGATCAATAATCATTAACGAAATACCAATCGATTATTGATAAATATCAGAGAACTCTTTGTGCTAAAATTTAATAACGTATAAAAAATTCAGCATATTTCATGTAACATTAACTTTTATCCTCACAATAGTTTATGTAAGATAATATCAATGACTATGTTTCCATATCAATAATCATGAATAATTCTTCGCATCAACATTATATCTGATTATATATTGGGCCAAATAGGCCCCTTATCATGGAGCCTTCCTTTGGCTTTCAATGCTCTGGGGTGGTGGGGTAGCCTAGTGGTTAAAGCGTTTGCTCGCCACGCCGAAGACCCATGTTCGATTCCCCACATGGGTACAATGTGTGAAGCATATTTCTGGTGTCTCCTGCCGTGATGCTGCTGGAATATTGCTCAAAGCAGCGTAAAACCATACTCACTCACTCTCTGTCAGTGCTCTCTGATAACTTTCATACAAAAATATACATACTCACTCACTTGACACTCACTCAGAGAGGGACTGTCAATGCTCTCTGATAACTCTCATACAAATATATATAAAATTTCAGATTTACAATTTGACATCTTCAGTTGACAGAAAGGGTCCCTTATCTAAATGGAATATCCTGTGGCTGTCAATGCTCTCTGATGCTTTCACACCAATATATTAAATTTACTCGATGTACAATTTGAGATTTTCTTTGAGCCAAAAATCCTTGTTTGGTAGCAGTGTTTGCAGTACTAATAGATGTATTGTATTTTGCAGATTTGGAGATGGGGGACTCCACTCCCACTCATGGTGGAGGGGGAACAGGGGGAGGTAGCTCTGGCGAGTATGACTATCTCATCAAGTTTCTAGCATTAGGTAAGTACTGTTCCACGTTCTGACACCATCAGCCATGTTGTGCTAAAAAGTCGGAAACAGGGGAAGGTAACTCTGGCCAGTATGACTATCTCATCAAGTTTCTAGCATTAGGTAAGTACTGTTCCACGTTCTGACACCATCAGCCATGTTGTGCTAAAAAGTCGGAAACAGGGGGAGGTAGCTCTGGCGAGTATGACTACCTCATCAAGTTTCTAGCATTAGGTATGTACTGTTCCACGTTCCGACACCGTAANCAGCCATGTTGTGCTACAAAGGTTGGGAGGAATTGAAAATAATTACACAACAAGAGACGGGGTCTAAAACCCAGTTCTTTATGTTGTCAAATGGAGGTTTGATGTCAGACTAATGCTTAGTCTCTGAATATGTATAATTTTAATAGCAACAAACAAGTCCTTTTAAATTAAAGGAGCCCCTGTGAGATGGGAGATCCTGAACCTGAGGAAATCTAGACTTGCTTCATTTAGGGCTTTAACATTGCAGGGAGGGTTGACGGATGGGAAAATAATGAAGTTCGAGGACTGTGAGACATAAAGGACTGGTTTCATGTAAAAAACATAGTTTACGTTAAGGATAACACCCAAACCAGAGGGCGTTCTAAGCTAGGGATGAGAATTTTCCGCGGATCTGACAAGTTCCAGGGATTTCATAAGGCCAAGGGTCATTTTTGTGAATCGTCTAAATCCATTGACAATTGTATGAATGTGCTTCAGCAGATTTAATTTTTTAATGGTTGTTGTGTTCATGATATTGTCATTTCTGAGCCAGTTTTTAAGGTCTAAAATGCCTAAATATCAGGAGCTTCGGCTAGTTTTCAGAGTTTTTCTCAAAACTTCATTCTCATCCCTGTAGTAAAGAGAGGCCTTTGCCCTGGGGAAAACCCAAGGGCGTGTTAGTGCACGAGGGTTTTCCAGTAGGCAAAGGCCTCTCTTATATACCGAAACCAATCACTGATGATGCCTTCGTTGATGTTTTTGTTTCAAAGTTGTCTGTCGCTCCATCCTGTTCAATCCCGTCTAAAATCCATACCCTCCTTTGAAATTAACATGACCGTGCATGTGTGGCTGGCGAGTACGTGCGGTCCTTGAAGGCGGTGCTGTTCAAATTTGTCAGTCCCGGGGAGCACAGCGAGATACAGTGTAGGATTTACCATTAGAATACAGGTATTTATTGGTTCGATCCCAGCATTTGACACAAAACCTTTTCAATTGAGAATTAAATTCTACAGATATTTTTTCAGTGGGGCTTCTAAACTTACAACTTTAAATAGTATGGAGTTAGTAGAAAAGTTAATTAAACAGCTGAAACGAGGCAGGGCCTTCCAACACCCAGATAACACCCTGCTGGGAGGGTATTAAAAGTCTGTAAGGCCCTGCTAGGAAGGGTGTTATATGGTATAAGGCCCTGATAGGAGGGTGTTATATGGTATAAGGCCCTGCTAGGAGGGTGTTATCTAGGTGTATGAGGCCCTGCTATCTCTCACCGGGATGTTCCTTTGGGAAAACAACTCGATTGAAGGAGTGTTATATGAGCATTGAGGTATATAATGTAGTATAAAACACTGTAGGCCACGACATGGGGAAGATGTTACTAAGAATAAACTACTCACTCACTCACTCACTCACTCACTCACTCACTCACTCACTCCCTGGAGAGGTATTTACATAGCAAGTTGTGCATTTTTACTGATCCAGATTTCTTTGGAAATAAGAATATGTTTAAACCAAAACTTTCAAACCCCAATAATAACAATAATAATAATTGATTTCTAAAGCGAATAGTATCCATCGACAGGTGCTCACTGGTGCTATGACAAAGTTAAAACCAAATCCAATGTGGGTGAAATGTAACAGCTCAATACCTCAGAAATGTAACTGGCTCCTTGATACCACAGTCATTCTGTTCGAACAAGAAATTACTACAGTCTACAGCGCCAGCCTCCTAAAGCCAGGAATCCATGAAAACCGTTATTTCTGTGATTCCGAATCCCTTCAAATGCCCATGAACATCAGGACAGCATGGTTTCAGAGCCCCAGGGAACTGTCATACCATTGACTTGATGCTGGAAGTTGTCCATTAGCTTTCAAGAAATCTTGCCAAGGAGTATTTTAGTGAGTTAGCCTGATGAATATTCACATGTCTCCAAACTCAGTTCATCACGGTTGGTTGATGTGATTTGTTCACAGGGAAATATGATTTGTGTTTTTTATATGGACATGTGGAACTGATGGTTGTGGAAGGATCCTGTAAGCCTGTAACTATTGTGTCTGTCAGGCAGGATGGAGAGAGAGCCTTCTTTAACCACATCACATTGTCCTCACTAACAGCCTGGGGGTACAACCGACTCTGATGTTGATGTGGGGGTAAGGTGGTGGGATGTGACTGTCAGTAAAGACCTAGGGGATATTCAGAGATAAAGTAAGGTCTCTTCTCATTAAGTAAAGCAACAATAGGGCTGCACCACTAACACTCTGTAAGGCCCTGTTCTACTATGGTACTGTTCTGCTGAAGCTCTGTTCTACTAAGGTACTGTTCCAGTAAGACCCTGTTCTACTAAGGTACTGTTCCAGTAGGGCCCTGTTCTACAAAGGTACTGTTCCAATAGGGCCCTGTTCTACTAAGGTACTGTTCCAGTAGGGCCCTGTTCTACTATGGTACTGTTCCAGTAGGGCCCTGTTCTACTATGGTACTGTTCTGCTGAAGCTCTGTTCTACTAAGGTACTGTTCCAGTAGGGCCCTGTTCTACTATGGTACTGTTCCAGTAAGACCCTGTTCTACTAAGGTACTGTTCCAGTAGGGCCCTGTTCTACAAAGGTACTGTTCCAGTAAGGCCCTGTTCTACTATGGTACTGTTCTGCTGAAGCTCTGTTCTACTAAGGTACTGTTCCAGTAGGGCCCTGTTCTACTATGGTACTGTTCTGCTGAAGCTCTGTTCTACTAAGGTACTGTTCCAGTAGGGCCCTGTTCTACTATGGTACTGTTCTGCTGAAGCTCTGTTCTACTAAGGTACTGTTCCAGTAGGGCCCTGTTCTACAATGGTACTGTTCCAGTAGGGCCCTGTTCTACTATGGTACTGTTCCAGTAGGGCCCTGTTCTACTAAGGTACTGTTCCAGTAGGGCCCTGTTCTACAAAGGTACTGTTCCAGTAGGGCCCTGTTCTACTATGGTACTGTTCCAGTAAGGCCCTGTTCTACTATGGTACTGTTCCAGTAGGGCCCTGTTCTACTATGGTACTGTTCTGCTGCTGATGTTCTACTAAGGTACTGTTCCAGTAGGGCCCTGTTTACTATGGTACTGTTCTGCTGAAGCTCTGTTCTACTAAGGTTGTTCCAGTAGGGGCCCTGTTCTACAATGGTACTGTTCCAGTAGGGCCCTGTTCTACTAAGGTACTGTTCCAGTAAGGCCCTGTTCTACTAAGGTACTGTTCCAGTAGGGCCCTGTTCTACTAAGGTACTTTCAGTAGGGGCCCTGTTCTACAAAGGTACTGTTCCAGTAGGGCCCTGTTCTACTATGGTACTGTTCCAGTAGGGCCATGTTCTACTATGGTTCCAGTAGGGCCCTGTTCTACTATGTTCCAGTAGGGCCCTGTTTTACTATGGTACTGTTCTGCTGAAGCTCTGTTCTACTATGGTACTGTTCCAGTAGGGCCCTGTTCTACTATGGTACTGTTCCAGTAGGGCCCTGTTCTACTATGGTACTGTTCCAGTAGGGCCCTGTTCTACTATGGTACTGTTCTGCTGAAGCTCTGTTCTACTATGGTACTGTTCCAGTAGGGCCCTGTTCTACTATGGTACTGTTCCAGTAGGGCCCTGTTCTACTAAGGTACTGTTCCAGTAGGGCCCTGTTCTACAAAGGTACTGTTCCAGTAGGGCCCTGTTCTACTAAGGTACTGTTCCAGTAGGGCCCTGTTCTACTAAGGTACTGTTCCAGTAGGGCCCTGTTCTACAAAGGTACTGTTCCAGTAAGGCCCTGTTCTACTAAGGTACTGTTCCAGTAGGGCCCTGTTCTACAAAGGTACTGTTCCAGTAAGGCCCTGTTCTACTATGGTACTGTTCTGCTGAAGCTCTGTTCTACTAAGGTACTGTTCCAGTAGGACCCTGTTCTACTATGGTACTGTTCTGCTGAAGCTCTGTTCTACTAAGGTACTGTTCCAGTAGGGCCCTGTTCTACTATGGTACTGTTCTGCTGAAGCTCTGTTCTACTAAGGTACTGTTCCAGTAGGGGCCCTGTTCTACTATGGTACTGTTCTGCTGAAGCTCTGTTCTACTACTAAGGTACTGTTCCAGTAGGGCCCTGTTCTACAATGGTACTGTTCCAGTAGGGCCCTGTTCTACTATGGTACTGTTCCAGTAGGGCCCTGTTCTACTAAGGTACTGTTCCAGTAGGGCCCTGTTCTACAAAGGTACTGTTCCAGTAGGGCCCTGTTCTACTATGGTACTGTTCCAGTAGGGCCCTGTTCTACAAAGGTACTGTTCCAGTAGGGCCCTGTTCTACTATGGTACTGTTCCAGTAGGGCCCTGTTTTACTATGGTACTGTTCTGCTGAAGCTCTGTTCTACTATGTTCCAGTAGGGACCCTGTTCTACTATGGTTCCAGTAGGGCCCTGTTCTACTAAGGTACTGTTCCAGTAGGGCCCTGTTCTACTATGGTACTGTTCCAGTAGGGCCCTGTTCTACAAAGCTACTGTTCTACTGTTCTACTATGGTACTGTTCCAGTAGGGCCCTGTTCTACTATGGTACTGTTCCAGTAAGGGCCCTGTTCTACTAAGGTACTGTTCCAGTAGGGCCCTGTTCTACTATGGTACTGTTCCAGTAAGGCCCTGTTCTACTATGGTACTGTTCCAGTAGGGCCCTGTTCTACTATGGTACTGTTCCAGTAAGCCCTGTTCTACTATGGTACTGTTCCAGTAGGGCCCCTGTTCTACTAAGGTACTGTTCCAGTGGGCCCTGTTCTACTATGGTACTGTTCCAGTAGGGCCCTGTTCTACTATGGTACTGTTCCAGTAGGGTCCCTGTTCTACTATGGTACTGTTCTGCTGAAGCTCTGTTCTACTATGGTACTGTTCCAGTAGGGCCCTGTTCTACTAAGGTACTGTTCCAGTAGGGCCCTGTTCTACTAAGGTACTGTTCCAGTAGGGCCCTGTTCTACTATGGTACTGTTCCAGTAGGGCCCTGTTCTACTATGGTACTGTTCTGCTGAAGCTCTGTTCTACTATGGTACTGTTCCAGTAGGGCCCTGTTTTACTATGGTACTGTTCTGCTGAAGCTCTGTTCTACTATGGTACTGTTCCAGTAGGGCCCTGTTCTACTAAGGTTCTACTAGGGCCCTGTTCTACTAAGGTACTGTTCCAGTAGGGCCCTGTTCTACTAAGGTACTGTTCCAGTAGGGCCCCTGTTCTACTATTAAGGTACTGTTCCAGTAGGGGCCCTGTTCTACTAAGGTACTGTTCCAGTAGGGCCCTGTTCTACTAAGGTACTGTTCTGGTAGGGCCCTGTTCTACTAAGGTACTGTTCCAGTAGGGCCCTGTTCTACTAAGGTACTGTTCCAGTAGGGCCCTGTTCTACTAAGGTACTGTTCCAGTAGGGCCCTGTTCTACTATGGTACTGTTCCAGTAGGGCCCTGTTCTACTAAGGTACTGTTCTGCTGAAGCTCTGTTCTACAATGGTACTGTTCCAGTAGGGCCCTGTTGTACTAAGGTACTGTTCCAGTAGGGCCATGTTCTACTATGGTACTGTTCTGCTGAAGCTCTGTTCTACTAAGGTACTGTTCCAGTAGGGCCCTGTTCTACTATGGTACTGTTCCAGTAGGGCCCTGTTCTACTATGGTACTGTTCCAGCAGGGCCCTGTTCTACTAAGGTACTGTTCCAGTAGGGCCCTGTTCTACTATGGTACTGTTCCAGCAGGGCCCTGTTCTACTAAGGTACTGTTCCAGTAAGGCCCTGTTCTACTAAGGTACTGTTCTAATGTAGCTCAGTTCCTCTGAATCTGTTGCTTTGAGGGGCCGTTACAGTAGGTCTGTGTTCCAGTAAAGGACTGTTCTAATAAATTCCCTTAGGCCCTGCTCCACTTAGGCTCTGTTCATGTGTGTGTGTGTGTGTGTGTGTGTGTGTGTGTTCCACTTGGGCTCTGTTCCAGTGTGGCCACTTGGGCTCTGTTCCAGTGTGGGGCTGCTCCACTTGGGCTCTGTTCCACTGCTCCACTTGGCTCTGTTCCAGTGTGTGGGCTGCTTCCAGTGTGGGGCTGCTCCACTTGGGCTCTGTTCCAGTGTGGGGCTGCTCCACTTGGGCTCTGTTCCAGTGTGGGGCTGCTCCACTTGGGCTCTGTTCCAGTGTGGGGCTGCTCCACTTGGGCTCTGTTCCAGTGTAGGGCCGCTCCACTTAGGCTTGTTACAAGCAGTGAAGAAGGTGTTATCCATGAAAGATTAATGTCTCCATAGACATCATTATACTTCCCAGTCTCCACAATCCAATATAGCTGGCATATAATTGAATCAGCAGTTAAAGCTTTACTATAATTTATCATGCCATATAATGTTTCGTTTACAAATATCTTGGAGACTCTTTAAGATTGGCCAAATGTCATCCTTGGAGACATATTATTGTTAACTCAGCAGTTTTAGCTGAATCCTTGGAATCACTAGAGACTTACATTACTGTTGTCACAGCAGTTTTAGCTTGCAGTGGAATGCAAGCTTGCCTATGATTTATTCACTGCACACTGAGATTTTTGTGTTGAATCATCAATTATAGCTTTACCATTGGCTTACGTATAGCAGTCATGATATATTGTTACAGCTTGACCCAGGGCAGTGGGGTAGCCTAGTGGTTAAAGCTTCGGCTCGTCATGCCGAAGACACAGGTTCGATTCCCCACATAGGTACAATGTGTGAAGCCCATTTCTGGTGGTGCCCCGCCGTGATATTGCTGGAATATTGCTAAAGGCAGTATTAAACCATACTCACTATCTCTCTCATTACCTGGAGAGGTATTTACATAAGATGTCAGACACTGGCTTCTATAGTCTAGACTTGAATACTTTCAGAATGTCATTTTAGCCCGAATATTACCCAGCATGGCGTTGGACAAAAATCAGCTTCATCTGTTAAAGCACAAATTATGAGCTGATGCCATCACCTTGTTGATAATGGCTTCCACTGAGCTGCCTCAACAATCTGTCTCACACTGACACTGCCAATTTAATATATTTTTACAATTTTCGACCTAACAGTTTTAGCAGATTATTGCTTAGTACCTGGTGATTAGTGTTCAGAATTGGATTAAATCTCATAATTGATAATTGGTTCATTACAACCGATCAATCATCGAAAATAATTGGTTAGCGTCATTTATTACATTTTTCTGGTTATGTTTGTTAATATACAAAAAAAAAACCAAAAAACATATAGTTCGTTCGGTTTTTTTGGCAAATTCCACAAAATGCATTTGCAAATTTCGCTTCTTTAAAAGATGACTAGTATGTTAGGAACATGAATTTCATGGAGTCTTAAAATAGATTCAATCATGAATTGGAACAGCTTGTAGTGCTAATGAAATGAAACAGACAAAACCACCCTTGTGAAAAATATTGTTATTGCAAACAAGTGTTCCAAAATTGTTTGTGTTCGATTATGAGAAATCATGATCGATTGCTTGGTCGTTTTGTGATTGCGACCGATCTTCAATTATTTCAATTAATCGGACCACCACTACTGGTGTACATGATTTTTATGGAAACAAATAGTTTCATTTAAACTGAAAAGGAGTCAAAGTGAGATGTGAAATTGAGAGATCCAGACTTGATCATTTAGGGCTTTCACATTGGAGAGAGGGCTGGGAGGAAGGGAGGTGATGTCATTCTGGGGCTGTTGGACAGACGAAGTCATTGTTTCAAACAGGGCAGCACTAAATGTGGTCCATTCTAATTACTGGATGGATATGCATTAGTGGGGGTCCTAATAATTGAAATAATTGAAGATTGGTCGCAGTGACTAACCAACCAAGCCATCAATCATGTTTTCTCATAATCGAACACAAACAATTTTGGAACACTTGCTTTCATTAACAATATTTATCACACGGTTGGTTTTGTTTGTTACATTTCATAAGCACTGCAAGCTTGTTCCAAGTCATGATTAAATTTATCTTAAAGACTCCAAGAAATTTATGTTCCTAACATACTAGTCATCCTTTAAAGATGTGAAATTTGAAAATGCATTTTGTGCAATTTGAAAAAACCCTGAACGAACTATATGTTATTTCTTTAGTTTTTGTGCATTAACCAACATAACCAGGAAAACTTGATAAATGAGGCTAACCAATTATTGAACGGTTGTAATGAACCAATCATCAATTATGAGATTTTAACCAATTCCCAACACTAATGTGCATTATAAAAAACACAAAATCTTAAACAAAATCATCCAATCACAGCTGTCAGATGGTTTTGCCTGCACCCTATGAAAAATGTTTTTTAGACTACAAAATCTGATTTAGTGTAGTATAACATGAGATTAGGAAATCTAGACTTGCATCATTTAGGGCTTTCGCATCACAGAAAGGGCTGGGTGGAAAATGTGGTTCAGGAGCTGTGAGACAGGCTGTAATGTGAACATAACCTGGCTCTAATCCACTAACCATGCTAACTGCTAACTGTATGGTTCACAGGGGACTCCGCCGTGGGGAAGACAAGCTACCTCTACCAGTACACAGACAACATGTTCAACTCCAAGTTCATCTCAACCGTGGGCATCGACTTCCGGGAAAAGAGAGTGGTGAGCACTTTCCTACAATGGTGTCTTCCAGAAATTGATCTGAGGGCTAAAAGCGTAGTGACTTGTGTACCACACCTTCATATAGAGCAATGCTAGGATTAAAGATACCTTTATAAAGTGGGCAAGCGTGGGCTTTGTGCCTCGAAGTGACGCCGACGATGCCGACCGATGACGCCTCTGCTGTTTAAGTTGATACATGATGGGGAAGAAGCTAATGGTGGCTTTGTGTTGCTCGGATCCAGGCTTTGATCCTTAATGTGATCGCAGCTCGGGCTCTGTAGTAATCCTGCTGCTGTTACACTCCTGTGTGATTCCCAGAAAAGTCTCCATCTAAACGATTTTTTAATAAAACTTGTGTCCGTTACAGACTTATACTGACGCTTAGCCTCTGAAAAAATCTTTTAATTGAAACAAAAAACTTCTTTTAAATCGAAAATTAGCTTCAATGAGATGAAAAATTCTGAAACCGTAGGAAAATCCAGACTTGCTTCAATTAGGGCTTCTGCATTTAGAAAGGGATGACGGAACGGGAAAGTGTGGGTCAAGGACTCTGAGAGACTGTGCAAAAAATACTTTGTGTCAACACAATACAGGACTGAGCTGGGCACATACCACAGAGGTACAGATTAGCTGCATATCTGTGTAAATTACGTAAATATTTATGTGAAAACTGAATTCCTATTAAGGCTATTGCATTTTTGTATGATTGAATTTTTGTAAATACTCAATAACTACGATCTTACATTCGTACACACAAAAAATGTCAAATCTTAGCTTGCGTACCGGTGGATAGATAAAATAAGTTAGGTATATTGAGAGGTTCTATTTCAGGACATGAACTTGACAACCTGCAGTCTTTCTTATTGTTTCTCATATTACAGATGAAATATAAATAACAAACACTAACATTTAAACTTTATTATATTTTTAAAATTAATGGAAATGGCAAAATACCCAACTGAAGTGGGTACAATTTATTTGGTTAATCAAAGAAAAATTAGGATACCCAATTGAGATGAGCACAAGCGAGTACATAACTCAATGACCCAAAACGTTATCTGGAGCTCTGTACCATCATTGTTCAGATTTTTTTGTTATAATATCATCTATTCCCAGCTGAGTATGCTTGACCAAAGGTAAAGCTTCATGTCCTTCAAACTCGTGGCGACCCGTGAAGATCCGGGTTAGAATGAGCCTTCAGTAACCCATGCTTGTCGTAAAGAGGCGACTAACGGGATCAGGTGGTCAGGCTCGCTGACTTGGCTGACACATGTCATCGGTTCCCAATTGCGCAGAACGATGCTCATGCTGTTGATCACTGGATTGTCTGGTCCAGACTCGATTAATTTCAGACCACCGCCATATAGCTGACATATTGCTGAGTGCGGCGTAAAACTAAACTCACTCACTCACACTCGTGGCTAAAGTCCAACACTGCAGGAGAATACTGACCACAGACATTCCAGAGTTTAAGACCTTTAACTAAGAATGATTTTTAGAAATATTTGTTCCAGAAAACACCTGAAAAAAAATCCAGGTTTCTCAATATCAGCAAAAAATGTCAAAGGATATGCTGGCTGTCAATATTTGTTCCAGAATACCAGAAAATATTTCAGGTTTTACGACAATAAAAAAATACTGCAGGACAAACGAGCTGTTGTCAAAAAAGTGTCGTGAGGTAAAAGTGTACAGCTCTTTATTTCAGGAAACAAATGGACATGTCTCTTGAACCAGTGGGCCAAAAAATATTTCCAGCAAGAATAATGTTTTATATGACTGTAGTTAATCTCTTAGACATATATTTCTATGAGTGGCATTTAGATAACAACTTCTTTTATTTCATTCCTGCTTGACATCGGTACAAGAATCTGTATTGCAATGTCGCGTGAAAGAAGTTGTTATCCATTAAGTTTGTTCAATATAAGGCATATATTCATGTATATCCAGGGATCCAGATAAGGGCCGTTATCGGCGTATGTACGGATAAAAAATATGCACGATACAGGTAGGAAATAATTTAAAAAACGTAGCAGATACGCACCACAGCAATGGTGTACGGTCTTAGAATCATTTACAGACGTATTTATCTGAAAAAGTATTGTTATATTGTTCATTGCCCCATTTACACAAGAGTAGCAATGTTGTGGTGCATATATGAAACGAAACAAGATTACTGATACTCCATTAAATTCCATTCAGTACTCTAAATGTACTCTTAAGGTTTTCCAGTACTCATATATTGAAAGAATAAGGAGTACGTACTCCTGATTTTGAAAAATTATCTGGAGCCCTGATATCATCAGGTATTCTTAACTTGTCTTTGGTATGAGTGGTATATTTTTAATGATGCTTTCATATTAATTATTAATATGGAGAATAATTTCCTCATATGTCCTGTAGTAAAGTGAGAATTGCACTGTGTGTAATAAACACTTCACGTGTAGAATATGCGGATCTCCTTTTCATTTGGGAAGTCGGATTGCATCTAATAAATTATCAAAATACGTAGAAGTCTCAGAATACTTTTAAGAAGTTTCATAACGCCAAAGACCCAGGTTCGATTCCCCACATGGGTACAATGTGTGAAGCCCATTTCTGGTGTCCCCTGCCGTGATATTGCTGGAATATTGCTAAAATCAGCGTAAATCCCAAATCATTTTAAGAAGTCATTGGAATTGTGGGGTGAAAATACAGGCAATGGTTGAATAAGTTTACTCCCACAAGCTAGGAGGAAGGTGACTGACGAATGTAACTTTCGTAAACCTTTACAGGTCAACATTTGTCAATACATGCTGGAGACCGCCTCCATGGTATAGTGGTTAGAGCGTCAGCCCGGAGAGCGGAAGGTCGTTGGTTCGATCCCCTGACCGCGTCATACCAAAAGACGTTGAAATATGGTCCCTGCCTGGCGCTCGGCATTAATTGGTACAACAAGGACTGGTCGGCTCAGAGTCAGTATAATGTGTCTGAGTTGGGTATTCATGCTTAACTGCGGCATTGTATCTCAGTGAGCTAGCACTATAAAACCAGCTAAAGTCTTGGCTAGTACAAGCAGCCGCACATACACATACACACGCATGCACGTCGTCATATGAGCGAAATATTATCAAGCACGACGTTAAACCCAATTTCACCACACCTCAATACATGCTGGAGCAAACTTCTGGTCTACTTCATGAGATAAACCAATCAGATGCACACCTTAGAAGCTCGTAAACACGTAGCTGATAGACAGAGTGTATTAACAGGAGTCAGTCGAAAACCTGTCGCAATTAGCTATCATGTCAGATCTGAGGAAATTGTTGATTGTATTGATATCGACTGTGGCCATAATAACTGGGGTCAGGTCATGGATTTGAAAACTTGTGTTGGGAATCGCTTTGTAAAGTTGAGTTTGGTTGACTGGGTTTTACATTATGGGTAATTTTGCATATCTCACTGACCAGATTTGTAAAGTACTCCCAAAATATTTCCATATGAGTCATAGATAATGCAATATTTTTTTCTGGAAATTGTACCTTGAATCCAAATAACAATTGCATCAGATTTCAACAGAGGACGATATCACAAAATATGCTTTCACAGGCCCTTGCTTTAGTTAGAATTAATAACAGAAATATTTTATTGACAAATATTTTCATAAATTACAAATTAAGAAAGTTACTAAAAAAACATTTATGGTGTGTCACAATGACGTGAAATTTTCAAAGAATATGTAGAAACCTGGTTGTACAGCAATCTTTAATTATTAATGCATTAAAGATTTGGCCCTTTACTTTAATGCTGTTTCTCAGTTACTTCTGTCAGCGTCAGCTAGGAAGGTCATTTCATTTAAATCTGCAAGGTAAAAGGTGGAGAGATACAGGTGAATTCATCCATGCTTTGTGTATGGATGGTGGTGTAGTCTAGTGGTTAAAATATTCACTCATCACGTCAAAGGTCTGAGTTCGATTCCCCACATGTGTGAAGCCCATTTCTAGTGTCCCCCATCATAGTGATATTGCTGGAATATTACTAAAAGCTGCGTAAAACTAAACTCAATCTCTCAGTTGTTTCAGATTTGTGAGGAATACGATATGTAGCACATAGGCTGCAGAACAACGAAGCATTATCCTTGCACATGCATTTACTTTGTGTTGTTCAGGTTTGTGAAGAATAGGATGTGTAACATTTGGGGCCAGCAGAACAACGAAGCATTATCCTTGCACATGCTTTTACTTTGTGTTGTTCAGGTTTGTGAAGAATAGGATGTGTAACATTTGGGGCCAGCAGAACAACGAAGCATTATCCTTGCAAACATTTTGACTTTGCTTATGTGGTCTTTGTACAACAGGTTCACCGAAAGCAGAACAACGCCCTTGCAAACATTTTGACTTTGCTTATGTGGATGGGTCAGTTGGGCCAAGCGTGGACGGGTCAGTTGGGCGGAGCCAGAGGATCCACTTACAACTGTGGGATACGGCCGGACAGGAGAGGTACTTGACCGACAGATAGCGTCTTTAGAACACTGACTATCTGTCCATTGTGTATGGTCTGTTGGTTGGTTGGTTGGTATCACACGTGGTCAAAGCATTAGCTCGTCACATCGAAGAGTGAGTGAGTGAGTTTAGTTTTACGCCGCACTCAGCAATATTCCAGTTATATGGCGGCGGTCTGTAAATAATCGAGTCTGGACCAGACAATCCAGTGATCAACAGCATGAGCATCGATCTGCGCAATTGGGAACCGATGACATGTGTCAACCAAGTCAGCAAGCCTGACCACCCGATCCCGTTAGAATGGGTTGCTGAAGACCTATTCTACCCCGGATCTTCACGGGTTTCGTCACATCGAAGACCCAGGTTCGATTCCCCACATGGGTACAATGTGTGAAGCCCATTTCTGGTGACCTTTGTGGTGATGTTGTTGGAATATTGCTAAATGCAGGATAAGACCTGGGTTCGATTCCCCACATGGGTAAAATGTGTGAAGCCCATTCCTGGTGACCTTTGTGGTGATGTTGTTGGAATATTGCTAAATGCAGGATAAGACCTGGGTTCGATTCCCCACATGGGTAAAATGTGTGAAGCCCATTTCCCATTGATGTTGTTGGAATGGTGCAGGATAAGACCTGGGTGATGTTGTTGGAATATTGTGTGAAGCCCATTCCTGGTGACCATTGTGGTGATGTTTTGTTGGAATGTTGCTGAATTTAGGATAATACCTTACTCATGCACTCACTTTGATGATTGTGTCTGGACCAGATAATCTAGTGATTGATATCACGAGCATTGCTGATATTTCTGAATGCAATGTCACTCACTATATGAACAAAAATAATAAATATTCTTGGCATCACCTGCATTTTTTTCTCAACAGCCCAAAATTGACCATAGGGCTTATCAAACTTATGCATCAATATGTTAAAGTCGGAAAGTCATAGCTTAAGGTCATTTGCAATGTGTCCTGTTTCTACAAAATCCTTGACATATATTTGCTTGATTTCTACACTAGATTTCGAAGTTTAACGACAGCGTTCTTCCGTGACGCGATGGGCTTCCTGTTGCTGTTTGATCTGACCAATGAGCAGTCGTTCCTGAACATCCGTAACTGGCTGACCCAGCTGCAGACCCACGCGTACTGCGAGAACCCGGATGTGGTGCTGCTCGGGAACAAGTCCGACCTCGAGGACAACCGATGTGTTGCTGAGGACCGCGCCAGGGAGATATCTGAAAAATATGGGTTAGTGTTTCAGCATACTCATGTTCTTTCTTTGTTTAACGCCGCACTCAGCTATATCGCAGCAGTCTGTAAATAATCAAATCTGGACCAGACAATCCAGTGATTGACATCATGAGCATCGATGTACACAGATGGGAACTGATGACCATGCAAACGAGCCTGACCACCCGATGTTGTTAGTCGCCTCTCACGACAAGCATGGGTTGCTGAAGAAGTGTTCTTTCACTGGGATCTCATGTTAATAAAATGACTTTAGAAATGGATGGATTGCGTGTTTGTTTCATAACTTAATCCTGCTACCAACAGTAGACAATAATATTGGTAGTCATGCTCATTTAATGGTGGTTGCTACTTGCTTTCAAAATTACAACTTTAACCAAAGTTATTGCCTAGGTTTGAGATTGTCAGCTTAATATCAAAGATCTTCCTTGTTCTTGAATGGGAAGGTGGGTGACCTATTTACATGGATATGGGGACAGCATCTGTTCTTCTTCAGAGTCCATATGGGGAGGTTGATATTTCGACCTGTTCTTCTCCTGAGTCTGTATGGGGAGGTTGATATTTCGACCTGCTCTTCTCCAGAGTCCATATGGGGAGGTTGAACTGGAGACCTGTTCTTCTGCTCAAGAATCCAAAAAGAGTGGTGACAACTGAACAAGAATCCATTGAGGGAGGTAGATATAATTGTGAACAGTCAAACACAACTCTCAATTCTACTTTCAGACTCCCGTACTTTGAGACCAGCGCCGCTACAGGGCAGAACGTAGCCAAGGCAGTGGAGTGCCTCTTGGACATGGTGATGACGAGGATGGAGAAGTGCGTCGACAAATCCCAACTTCCCGGTAGCCGAAGCAGAAACGGACGAGCATACGGACAGCAAGATGGAGATGATTCAGAAGGAGGCTGTGCATGCTGACACACGATTGGTCGAAAGTGGTTATATTCTCGACTGACTGGACAAGAGCAGAAGATGTGGTCTGAGATGCTTATACTTGCTGACTGTCGGGGAAAAAGTCGGGATATAACGCTGAAAAAGTCGGGATATAACGTTTGTTATATACACTGCTGACTGTGATGTTAATCCTTGTTATATACCTTATTGCTATAAATGACACATATGTGTGATTTATAATGTTATTGCTGCATGTTTCAAAATTATATTTTGCAATTTTTTTTTTTTTCTGGCGAAAATATTGGTTGTGAAAACAATGTTTTTAAATATTTAGTGTTAACATTCTGAGTGTAATGAATTTTTTCTATGGTACCATGAAAGCATGATTACGTTTGTATTGTTAATAGTATTGATATTTTATCATTTGTTTGAAAATTTGTTAATTGTGGCTGTGTGGTATGTATCTCTTCAATAATGGGGAGTTGGGTAGCCCAGTGGTTTAAGTGTTAGTTCGTCACACCGAACACCCGGTTTCAATTCCAGGCAAGGGTACAAAAAGTGACTCCACTTTTGGTGTCCCCCACTGTGATCTTGCTGGGCTGTTGCTAAAAGTGTGTAAAACCATACTCGTTGACTCATTCTTCCATAATGATAAATATCATGGACCTATTCTTCCAAAACGTTTCAAACGTGATGTCCCCACCTCCATTTCTCCAACTCAAACTTATCACAGAATTTGTCTCACTTCTGAGAGTACAATTTCATTGGATATTTATATATTTGTAAATCAGCAAGCTATTCAGTCCAGGCAATAGTGACATAGGTCCTGGGTATGACAAGGATGTAATGGGATATGAACAATAGGTGCTGTTGACTATATACTGGGGCGGTGGGGTAGCCTAGTGGTTAAAGCATTCGCTCCTCACACTGAAGACTCGGGTTTGATTCCCCACATGGGCACAATGTGTGAAGCCCATTTCTGGTGTCCCTAGTCATGATATTGCTGGTATATTTCTAAAAGTGGCGTAAAACTAAACTCACTCGCCCAATGAAGTTGGTCATGTGGCTCAGTTTGCGAGTGTCATCGTACCCCAGTGGCTTAATTTGTTGCTCAGAATATCAATCACTGGATTGGCTGGTCCTGAATCCATTATTAAGACCGTTGTTACACAGCTGGAATATTGTGGGTTGCGTTAGCCTACAAGCATGGTATGCATGCTTGAGTAAGGTTTAAAACATTTAGGATTGTCTTAGAACTACAAATATGGGTTGTGGTTGTCTTAGAACTACGACCATCGTAAGTCAGCGTCAGTGAGAATGGGTTGTGATTTGTCTCAGAACTACGACCATCGCAAGTCAGAATCAGTGAGAATGGGTTGTGATCGTCTCAGAACTACGACCATCGTAAGTCAGCGTCAGTAAGAATGGGTTGTGATGGTCTCAGAACTACGACCATCATAAGTCAGCATCAGTGAATATGGATTACGATTGTTTCAAAACAAACTTCAACTGTCACGAGTCAGGCATCTGTGAAAACAAGCTAGATTGTCCTTGGACTACAACTAACATTAGTATTCGCAGAATGTATGAATAACAATATTCCTGCTCGCTACTGTTTATGTCAGATCCTATTTCAACCCATTAATCTGCATCAGTTAATATGACAATCTTAGCACAGACTGCCTAATCATCGATCCTCCTTGTTCCAGGCATGGCTTAACAAGCTTAGTGTCCTCTCTGAAGGTTAATTATCTCCCTTTGGAATAGCATTTAAGTCTCAATTAACCTCCTGTTTCCCAATGGGTCTGTTTTCAAATTGCACCCATCCCTCTCCAAATGAGTCATATCTATAGTCCCAGAATAGCAGTGTGTGGTTTTTAGATATTTAGATCAGTGTGTAGTTTAGATGAATTTAGTTTTTTCTTGGGTTTTTAAATATTAAAAATCCAACGTTGTTATTTGCAGTGAGGTGTTGATATATTCTGTTAACATTTTATAACATGCATAATATTATGTTTGACTGAAAAAAATTGTTTATGGATTATAATTGCGAAAGATTTGATTCCTATTGAGTACAGTGGAGCTAAAAACATGCATCGCATGTACCTTTCAAAGTTAGGCTTCAAGAGTTGTCTCCCTTACATCAATAGATCTGCTGTCTGGGTCACTGTTCAAGGTCATATTGGCTGTGTTGATTATTATTAGTTACGTAAATACAAATTCCAAGCCTGCATTTTTCATAATAGTAACAATACCATATGAATACTGTACATCACAGATGCTGTTAATGCTTGAATTGCTGTTTTGTGATGACATGTCAAACCTAACACCATGTTTGTCACAAATCATCACTAACAAAACTCCACTACATTCAGCTTATTTTATCCCCAAACCAGTAACTTTTCAGTAAGGGTCTCTTGATCCTTTCCATCATTTTGGGGGGGCGGTGGTGAATTTTACATCTATTCTCTTATAAATAATACGGGGCAGTGGGGTAGTCTAGTGGTTAAAGTGTTAAGTTCGCTCATCACACCGAAGATCCAGGTTCGATTCCGCACATGGGTACAATGTGTGAAGCCCATTTCTGGCGTCCTCAGCCGTGATATTGCTGGAATATTACTAAAAGCAGCTCACCCATTTTGGTTGTTCACTGAAATGTAATAATCATGTCATTTTGATTATCATGTCTTAGATCATTATTATATATACACTACAGCTTGTGATAAATATTGTGATTTTGTTTATCATTATAGAATGGGGATATATAATCTGTGGATTTAAGTTATTATACTACTCAAAAATGTTAAGGATCCAATTCTTCCATACCACAATAGTTAGCATGGCATGAGAATCAGGTGATCCTTAACTAATTTTGAGCAGTATATGTAGATTCTGTTCTTTGGGGTCAGTAAACATTTATGTATTTGTTATTTTTATAGAGGTGATAATTATTATATGTAAAATTATAATATTTTTAACCGATCCAACCACTTGACTTCAGTATTTTGTTAATATTTTCAAAATGGTGTTACTTTTGATTATTCCGTGTCTAAAACTATTGTACACATTGCAACTTACATTGACTTAGCATCAGGTTTGAAAATGTTAAGTCTCAGTTGACCCATTTTCATGCTTTCTAACAGCCCTGCCTGCTTTTATTTGGGGACAAAGGGCGGTGGGGTAGCCTAGTGGTTAAAGTGTTCGCTCATCACGCCAAAGACCCGGGTTCGATTCCCCACATGGGTACAATGTGTGAAGCTCATTTCTGGTTTCCCCTGCAGTGATGTTGCTGGAATATTGCTAAAAGTGGCGTAAAACCTTCCTCACTCACTCACTCAATTATTTGGGGACATGGGTTTCTGTGTCCCTTGTACACCATGACAGCAATCTGTAAATAGTGCAGCCGAGACTAGACAATCCAGTGATTCAGTAACAATATTGAGCCAGATGACATCCATCCCGAGACAAAATCCATTGTTTTTCGGGTTTTCCAGATAACCATGACTTTGCCTGCAAATACAATGGTCTCTGGAAGTATGAATAAAGGAGAAAAGTAAAGTCATTTATTACTGCTGAAAGTTCAAATACCATGGCCGACATATTGACTTTATTTTTCATTTGGAATAGACTTAGCCACTTGGCCTTTAGTCAGTCCAGAAAATCCAGAGGGACAAAAATCCTGCCAAAATCTAGATTTTACAAACTTGGATTTGACATACTTTGTTCTCTCCAGATAAATCCAGAATTACTGTGAGATATACACCGATATATATGTTTGAGGATATACACCGATATATATGTTTGAGGATATACACCGATATATATGTTTGAGGATATACACCGATATATATGTTCAAGGATATACACCGATATATATGTTTGAGGATATACACCGATATATATGTTTGAGGATATACACCGATATATATGATATATATGTTCAAGGATATACACCGATATATATGTTTGAGGATATACACCTATATATATGTTCAGGATATACACCGATATATATGTTTGAGGATATACACCGATATATATGTTCGAGGATATACACCGATATATATGTTCGAGGATATACACCGATATATATGTTCGAGGATATACACCGATATATATGTTCGAGGATATACACCGATATATATGTTTGAGGATATACACCGATATATATGTTTGAGGATATACATATATGTTCTAGGATATACACCGATATATATGTTCAAGGATATACACCGATATATATGTTTGAGGATATACACCGATATATATGTTTGAGGATATACACCGATATATATGTTTGAGGATGTTCTACTGTATATGTATCTTCTTGACTATGCTGAATATTGTTAAATATTTGTGTACACATGTATTTACATTTTCTTACAAATTCTACGACCCGATTCCTATTTTTCTATGTTCCATGTTTCTGTGGTTTTTACTGATGTGAGCAACTGCATGATCCACACCAGCAAACAATACACCATCACAATCACCATACAAATTATATATTTATTATTAAATATTAAATAAATTATATTGGTCTTATAATTATTCCTATGACAGGCCCCATACTGCAGAAAATGTCACAGTATAGCTTGAGTTGAAGGTATTAGAAAATACAAACATCTTATTAAATTCACAGAAATCCCCCCAAACATCAGATTGTGTCCCCCAGGAATAAAGTTTTGAGGAAAAACACATTTTAAAGACCCACTGGAAATACTGAATTATATTTTTATGGAAAAAAATCATTTTCATAGAAACTGGTAGAGCATCATGTTACAGTCATTGTGAATAGTCAGATACATTGTGAATACTATTATCCTGTTTGTTAAATAAAGATGTTAATACGAAGTTGCTCTGTGATGATAAATCTGTTCATTGTAATACTTTCTGCATGAATTTTGAATTGTGTTGAGTATTGTTACAGAGATGAATATATACATTGTGTCGTTGTTGAATTACTGCATGTATGGCCACCTCCCTCCTTAACAATCATGTTTCTGTCCATGAAATCTCCCACAATTTTACCTGCTGCCAATCACGTGACACAGGAGATTAATGGCATCCATCCTGTTGCGACCCATTAAGATCCGGTTTAGAATTGGTCTTCACCAACCCATGGCCCCGTGAAGGTCCGGGTTAGAATATTGATCTTTAGTAACCCATGCTTGCCGTAAGAGACGACTAACGGGATCGGGTGGTCAGGCTCGCTGACTTGGTGACATGTCATCGGTTCCCAATTGTGCAGATCGATGCTCATGCTGTTGATCACTGGATTGTCTGGTCCAGACTCGATTATTTACAGACTGCTGCCATATAGCTGGAATATTGCTGAGTGCGGCGTAAAACATCACTCACTCACTCACTCACCAACCCATGCTTGTCGTAAGAGGCGATTAAGACTGGGTGGTCAGGCTTGCTGCCTTTGTTGACACATGTCATCGTGTCTTAATTGTGGAGATCGGTGCTCATGATGTTAATCACTGCGCTGGTCCAGACTCTGGTGCCAAGACTGGAATATTGCAGAGTTATAGACTGCCTGCCTTTGTTGACACATATGAGCGAGCTGCCGCCACATAGCTGGAATATGAGCGTGGCGTAAACAACAAACAAAACCATTCTATAGCAGACATTGCAACCCGTCGTCACACCAATTGCAGAAACAAACAGTTTTTAGTCCCCTTGTCCTTATAATGACAATAGCAAAACCTTTAGAAAGGCAAATTTATGCTCATCCGTGCAATACCTTAACTATTGTACTTTGTCAGGGAGTTTAAGAGCATTGCCAATTTCCGTAGCCTGGGGCATTAATTCTTAATTCTATATTGTATCATAGGCTTACGAATGGCATAGCGCTACGGACGGTTTCGGGGTCGGGTGCTTGATCTCTAGATAAAAACCTGTCAGTAACCAGCTGGTGATTGGGAATGTAGATTTAGATGATGGTAGATGATTAGCTTCACAGTAGCCGTTTTGTTTGACAGTAGCCATTTTGTTTGATAGTAGCCATTTTGTCCTCCACATGCCCTTGTCACATGATAAGAGACGGAGCAAAAAATCCATTGTATACTCTATGTTGTCGTGGCAATGTCCTTGTTGATTTATTTGTTATTCCACCCCGCTCAAATGTAACAGCTTCGACGCTTCCTCTTTCTGACGGAACGCAGAAGCTGACCAATGAAGCCTTCATTCAGACAGGTAACGTTGACTTGTTTCAGACAGTTGGACAGGTTTAAAGTCATAAGGTCAGGCTATGGCCAAAATACTGCAGACCTACTTCAGATTTGAGCTCACTCACTCACTAACTGAAAGTTATCAGCCGAACAACTGATTCTTTATGAATTCCTATTTTCTGATTGGTCAGTCATGTTATTTGTTTCAACAGCTTGTGTTGGTTCCCGTTCCAGTTGCTTATCATATTGAAAGGTTTATGTGAGAACATATTTCAGAATTTAGATGTGTTACTTGAAGGTGACCTAGAGCCTGTTGAATTTTACAAAGTGTATCAGATGTTGCTGTTTATTGAGGTTGTAGTAAGCCATTAATGTGACGCCATCTGTGATGTCAAGGTCAGCGATGACGATGGTGTGATCTGTAGGTGGGGTAGCCTAGTGGTTAAAGCGTTCGCTCGTCACGAAAAAGACCTGGTTCGATTTCCCACATGGGTACAATGTGTGAAGCCCATTTCTGGTGTCCCCTGCCATGATATTGCTGGAATATTGCTAAAAGCGGCACAAAACCATACTCACTCACTCACTGATGATGATGCTTCCAGTATGTTTGAAAACATTCAGAATCTCACAATAACCAGTTAGTACATAGCTATAGTACAAAGTCTATATGTCCCCAGCAGCCCATGCTTGTAACAGGTGACTAACAGGATCGGATGGTCAGGGTCACTGACTTGGTTGACACATGTTGACAATTGGGTAGATAATGCTTACAATGTCAATCACTGTCTAGTCTGGCCCAAACTGCCGTCAAATAGCTGGAATGTGGCTGAATACAGTGTTAAACAAAAAATGTCCCTTCCAAGTGTCATGTTGTTGATCTTCCAATTCTTTCCAAGTCTTTCCAAGGATATCCAAGCTTATAGTACCATAGAGAGCAGTTCAAAAGTTTGATGTTGGACAAAAAGCTTAATTCCTAAGGCTAGGGATGGAAGTTTCAGAACTACATCATCAGAATGTCAAATTTTTATAGGTTAATGCAGATGCTCCTGTCTGTAACAGGACAATAGCAACAAAAAATTCAGTATGTCCAGGGTGCCATTGTACAAAGCGATCTTAGCTCTAAGGTGACTGTAACTTCCATACCTTAACATAGATTTAAGGTAGCCTTAGCTCTAAGGTTGTTTTGTACAACGGCACCCTGTTCAATACAATAAGTATCATTTTAACCTTTAGCCTGCTGAATTAATTTGTAGAGGGTGGGTGATTTCAAACAGTTGGTGTGTTATTAAATAATGGACAACTGAACCAATATTCTACACATTAATACTAGACAGAAAAGTTAACATTATTATCCAAAAATATCCTAATATTTAACATACAGAGGTTAAGGCCAAAGT